CCTGCTGAAAACCAAAGCTGATTAAAATTTAAAAATCATCTTAAAAAGATTTTAAGACAGGAAGGGATGTCCAATCCAAAGGTAAAGAGAGGAGTTAAGTCAATATGAGGCCTTATTGTGGCAACCTTATGGAGTAAGGGGGACAGATGTCAAAGTTCAGGGCCCACACAAGGTAGTGAATCTAACAGGAATCGTTATCCCACAGAACTTTCCCTCAATAGGCTGAAACTCCCCCAAAGGATTTCAGCCTTCAGATGAGAATGAATGGGAGTATAAAATATGTAAAATTATAGCCAAGTTTAGAACTGCCTCCATTACACAAAGAATCTTAAGCGTCTAACTTGCTTTTAAGGTGGTCCCACACTGGTTATGTCTCCAAGTGCTAGGAGAAATAAAAATATAAATCCTCTCCATGGGAAAGAAAGTTCATTGTAAGCCTCAAATTACATTTCAAATATATCTAAAACAAACAAACAAAAAAAGGCATATATGGAAACTAAACTCCAGAGGCAAGAATTAGTAGAAACAAAACAAACTCATATAGACTTAGGCATTAGATTTATGTTTTCTGTGTTTAAATAAATGAAATCAGGTGTGAGATATCTGTAGAGAATGGGAAACTAAAAAGTGATGGAGCTAATTTTGGAAAGAACAGTATAAATGTTACAAGACTATATAAAAACAACTTTAAAACAAATAAATTTAATGGCAGAATAGAATACAGCTAATGGGGAGAATTTATAAATAAATATGTCAGGAGAAATTATCCAGAATGCAGGACAAAGAAGCAACAAGTTGGAAAGATGGGGAAAACAGGAGACATGAAGATGTAGTGAGAAATCTTAACATGCTTACTTAGCTGAAAAAGCAGAAGAATAAGACAAAATATTTTTAAATACAATGTAGACCTTTGAAAACTGATGAAAGAGATGACTACAGATTCAAGAAGCCAGACATATCTCAAATGATGTAAATAAATAGTAATCTATACATAAGACACTTAACGGAAAAACAGGACACAGCAAGTGAAATGGCACACAAGAGTCCAAGGAATAGTTTGCTCTCTAGTCAGAGGACCAGGAGTTGGTTGAAAGCTATGAGACAGAACCCTTTAGAAGTTACTTGCCTTCTTCCAGGACAGCTGCAGAAAAGCAGCAGCACCCCTTCCTCACTATATGTAAACCCTGTGGAGCAATGTGTAAATGCTTTGATGTGGAGCCTTACAGACTTATCTTGCTCTATGCCAATCAAGAGACAGCAAAAAGGCAGAACCCCTCTATCCACGGGTGCAATGGTGGTGGACGCTACAGGGGAGAACACTGGCAATGGGGTGGGGAGACCAGAGCCCTGGCTTTCTAGCAAGAACACCAAGAAGTGGGATCTTGGAAACAAAGTGTAGGGAGATCGTAGACAAGAGGGAACTAAAGAAAGAACCTCTTAATTTGTGTATAAAATCCTGGGGTCGCTCCCTTGCTGTGCATATGTGAAACTGACCAGAAAGAGAGTAAAGGTTTAGAATACTGAGCTATAGTATAGCTCACTATCCAGGTTTAACTGGCCATTGGGTGGTGCACAGTTGGGGCAGATTGGAATGGCATTGTGAAGGAGCTGAAAACTAAATTATTGTTGGAACAATAATCCACAGGAAGACGGCCAGGATGTGTAGTCTGAAGTACCTGGATTGTCAGCTAAAATAAGACAAAACAAAACAAAAATATTCTTCTGAAGATTTAAACAAGACTGAGTTCCATAATATTCAGCATGTCCTGAAAATAATCCAAAATTATTCAATATGCAAAACACTAGAAAAACCTAAACAGTTCTCAAGGGAAAAGACAATGAACAAAACTCAATTCTTA